AGTCAAAGGCCTCAAGTAAGGAGGCCCTTGGGAAGAGAGGGTGAAGCTGGCCCTGAAGATGGAGTAGGAGTCAGGACAAGGAGTGGCAGGTCGGTAGGGTCCAAACCATGAAAGATGTACACAAAGGCCAGGTTCAAGTATTTTCTGCTTGTCCTCATTTCAGTGAGAAGCTCTTGAAATATTTGAGGGTCAGGGAAATGCAAACAATGACATGATCAGACTTGCATTTTGCAAACATTGTCTTCAGAGCTGTGTGAACTGGACTGTAGTGCAGCAGCAGTGGGAGGCCGCTTAGGAAGTGGTTGCGTGTCCAAACGACAGGAGATGGCGGCATGGAATGGTAGAAGTGGAGAAAGAGACCTATATGGGTTCAACATATATGGAAAGAGGAAAACTCCACCTGGCCTGGTGGTGGATGTCATGGAGTTGCAGGGCTCCCCAGACCCGGTGGCCAGCAGAGTCGTGAAGGTCAAGACTGGGAAAAGCAGCAGTCTAGGTGTTAACCTTTGTAGAAATAGTCACGTTTACTAGCTGTCACGGGAGAGGAAGGAAACTCCGAGGTTTCTGGTTCCAGATTCACATGGAAATGCTTCAGGTTTGCATGTCATAGAAAGTTGGAGTTGGGGAAGGCCTTAGAAATCGTGCAGCAGGAAAAGCAGGTTGTAAAATAGGATGTTGAAAAGTAGATAGGATGTAGAATAGGGTCCAATTCTTTGATATAGGAAGGGCTACACCAAGTTAACAATGGTGTTATTGTCTTTGCTTTTGTATATTTTTCTAATTTTTCTGTGATTAATATGTAAATACTTATACAATGAGGGAGGAATCCAATATTATTTTTAAAAGAAATTACCTAGTATAGATAACTCCTCTTCTATGAGAGAGGAAACTGAGACAGGAGAATCTCTCTGGACAGGAAGAAAGGGGAAATCCAATCAACTATTACAGAAACTTTTTTCATTGTTTTAAAATCTTCATCTTTATTTGAAAGCTCCTTGCCATCTTTAAGGGTTTTGTTCAAGGCTATATGCATAGGGCCACCCACCTTATGCAGTCAGCATGCTATTTTAATAATTGAGTGTGTATTGTCCAAATCATAACAGTCTCAGAGACAGAAGGGGTTTTAGTAGTTAGTCCTGCTCTGCAAATGATTGCCTGTGTCAGGGTTTCTCGACCTCAGCAATACTGCCATTAGTGCCAAATGGTTTTTGTTGTGCGGGCTGTCCTGTGCATGCTTCCTATCACCCCTGACCTCTCCCCACTCAATGCCAGTAGCACTCCCCCTCAGTTGTGACTCCAGACATTGCCAAATGTCCCCTGAGGGCAGAATCACCCTCATAGAGAACCAGCAGCCTAGGTGTTGCTTACATACGTCAGGTGACAGAGCGTTCATCACACCTAGGAGCAGGCTCTTCCCAGCATGAGCTGCTGTTAGAAAGTTCACCCTTCCACTGAGCAGCCACCTGTCTCCCTCCAGCTTCCAGTGCCGGTTCTTCCCTTGGGGCCATTAGAGAGCATGTCCAATTTCTCTTGCCTATGACGGTTCTGCCGAGATTTCAAGAGAGCGCCATGCTCTACCCCCTACCTCCCCCACCTGCTCCCAAGTCTTTTCTCTCCCAAGTTGAACATTCTTTTTTCAACTGTTCCTCACAGGACATGTCGGGTCTTCTGTTTGTCCACATTTCCATGACAGCTCCAGGTCCCCAGCTAAACACAATTCTCCAGGTGCCGGCTGACCATGGAGCGTAGGCGGAGCAGTGGGCCACATTCTTCCTCCTGGATACCCACTTACGTAGCCCGACATCCCTTTCACTTCCTGGCAGCTACATGACACTAAGTCCCATACTGAGCTGTTAGCCAAAACGCTGAAAGTCTGCATGTGTGACTCTGCTCCCTTGGGTAACCCCTCCCTAGCAACTTGGTTCTGGGGCCCACCTATTAGGCCTACATTTATCTTTCTCAAACTTCACCAGTTCATAAGAAATAGATAACTGTGCCTGCCTGAGGACAGCGGGGTGGCTGGGGACAGGATGGAAGAGAAGAGGACTTCATTGTATACATGTTTGTGCCTTTTAAACTTTGTACTGTGTGCACATATTACCTAGTCACAATAAACAGGCCTGCAAATAAACACCCTGGCCATACTTCACCTGCTTAGAGTCACCCAATCCTTCCAGCCTGTCTTGATCCACTTGAAAATTTATGATGTCTTCCAGTGTCCTGACTTTCATCCCAAATATGAGAAGCATGCCTTCCAAATCTTCCCTCAAAGCCATCCACAAGGAAAGATGGAGAAAGACAAGCCAAGGCTTGTCAAGGCATTTTTACATCAAGGCTCTAAGTGGGGACTCTTCCAGTTGGGACCCCAGGAACCCACCCATTTCCTTCAAGAATTGTGCCAAGTCAGCCCTCCTTTAAGTGGTTGCTTTGCATATCTGGTTTCCCTAAACAGAGGCCACCCTGATTGGTCACCCCACTTCCTCCTTCTTTCTGGGACGTCCCTACCTTCAGGGCAAACTGAGAGAACTGTCACTGCCCAGGATGGCGTTTCTACATTCAAGTGCCACTCACTCTACCACCACCAATTCAGCTCCTTCACAAAATCCACCACACACGGCCCTGTGCTCCCACCAGGGGACACAGGTTGAGTCCTGTAAGGGGGCAAACCTGTACTGCAGTACGGAGATCTGTTAAATGGCTTCATTTATTTTCAGGCAGCATCAAGCAGTCCTGAAACAGCAGCAAGAATTGCACACACATTGATAATGGCAAATTTAATATGATTTATTCATACAATAACTCATGCTGCACTTAACACAAATACAAGAGTACCTTTTTCAATAGTGTGGAAGAGATGAATTCATACAACCTGTTAAGTAAATAATGTGTTTTGAATATAAATCACCTGCAAAAGGTTCTTTCCAAAACACACCCCAAACAATGATAAATTAGGGCAAGGGTTTTGTAAATGTCAGCCTGGTCCTGCTCCAAACCATCTTACCCACATAAGTCACAGTCCTTGAATTTTACAGACAGGAAAAAGCAAAAGCAGTTAACTCCTGCCCTTTGCTCCTCTCTTTGTCCACTTCCTAACTCTTGCTGTCTATCAGGTGCCGAAAACACTAGACCCTGAGCCTTTGTTCCCTACTGGCAGTGGGGCTCTGCTCCTCCTGCCTGAGGTGTGTCACATCACCCGGTACGGACACCTGCAGGTGATCTCCCAGATACCTCATCCAGAGCCAACCCAGGCCACGTTTGTTTTCTCTAGCCTGGACTCACCCCAATCAGAGGCCCAAGACCATTGTCCAGAATCTAGAGTCAAACAAGGGCATCCTTTGGTGACTAGCACCATTGGCTGCCAGCAATCTTGGGTGGAACCCAGAATAATGGTCAGGAAACTCTGATCCCCACCACATCATACTGCCTGTATTTCAGCTGACACTAGAGAGGAAAGCGTTATCTACCCCACCAGATGGGAAAACGGACAGGGACACCAGAAGAAGCTTCAGTAGCATGTGAAAGGCAAGTCCCGAGAGCAGTGAGGACTCTTACCCATCATGGCAACACTACACGTGATCTGAGGGCACTGACTAGTGACAGCCCTCTCAGCTTCAAGTTCTCATGTGCAGAAGAGAGAGACTGCCTGTGAGAGCCAAGGGGACAGCAAGCGCATTGGGGCGGGAGGGGAGTAGGCTGACAGCAGTCTCAACCACAATGGGCGATACCTAAGGCCAAAAGAGACAATGGGCAGAGGCCAAAGGGGGCAGCTGGGTTCTAGTTCAACACTGGGTCCCAGGCCAGAATTCAAGAGATTCCTCAGAGAAGCTAAAACCTGCAGGCCAGACTTGGGCAAGGAAAAGGGGATGAGCCCCATTTGGGAATTTATACCGAAAGCCCCTCACACAGTGAGGTATGACAGCTGGAAACCTTGCAGGCATCGGTGAGGTTGGCCTGAGACGGAGAAGAGCCAGCCCCCTGCCATCATTCAGAGAAATCTTGCTTTCTGCAGCCAAGATAAGGCTCCTCCAGAGTCACCTTGCTCGTCTCTCAGCACACACTCCAACATTTTTAAGTGATTAAAGATGAATGTAGGCTGGGTATATATCCAAAAGAATTAAAAGCAGAGACTCAAACAGATATTTGCACACTCATGTTCACAGCAGCATTATTTGTAATAGCCAAAAGGTAGAAACAACTCATGTCCATCAAGGACGAATGGATAAATGAAATGTGGTCCATCCATACTATGGAATATTATTCAGCCTTAAAAAGGAAGGAAATTCTGACACGGGCTACAACATGGATGAACCTTGAGGATATTATTCTAAATGAAAGCAGCCAGACACAAAAGGACAAATACTGTACAATTCCACTTATATGAGGTCCCTAGAGCAATGAAACTCCTAGGTACAGAAAGTTGAATGGTGACTACCAGGGGTTAGGAGGGAGCGGAAGGATAGGGAGTTGTTGTTTCACGGGGACAGAGTTTCAGTTTTGCAAGAAGAAAAGAGTTCTGTGGATGGATGGAGGTGATGTAATGTGAATGTATTTAATGCCACGTAACTGCATACTTAATAATGGTTAAACAGTAAATTTTGTTGTGTATTTTACCACAATTTTAAAAAATGCATTCTAAAATTTGAGAATTTCAGTAAAAAAAAGATTAATGTAGGAAAGGTGGTACAGTCATTACAAAGGTCACCAAGAACTGTCAATGACATGAAAAACGATGCTAACATTATTTTAGATCAAAAAGAGCAGGACACGGGACTCTATGTGGTAGACTTTAGCTTTGTAAAGATAAAAATGTCCATATCTGTGCACATGCATGTGGGAAGGAAAAAGAGAGGAAATGCGCAAATGTCAACAGTGGCTATATTCTGGAGGGTAGGCTTCTTTTCACCCGCACCATTTTCCAAATTTTACACAATGAACATATATTTCTCTGTTAATGGGGTGGAAAGACAGGGTAGATTATGTATAAAACCAAACCACAAAAAAACAAAGGAAAATGCATATTTATTCAATCTCCAGATTGGGAGGGGTCTCCATGTTTAACAGGAAAAAAAATCACATAGGAAAAGAGCGATTTGTTTGATTACTTAAAAAAGTGAAACCCATAACCAAAATGTGAAGGCAAATTCACACAACTGGAAATACAAATGCCCAGCAATCATACAGAAAGAACAACGATCAAAGTCACTAACAAGCAAAGAATTTGACGCTAAAACAGGATACCACTTTCATCTATTATCACGGGGGTTGGGGTTTTTCGTTTTGTTTGGTTCTACGGTTTTTATTATTTGTGTCCTTGTTTGCTTTATTTTTAGTTTTACTACCCTAAGGTAGTAGGAGAGTCGTGAGAAGAGGAAAATGGCGATGCTTTTGACAATTTGGCACTGAGAGACTATCCTAAGTGGGTAATGTGAAACACATAAGAACATTTTATTCACAAGGTTATTCATCACAGGATTATTTGTAATACCAAAAATCTGGAAATAAACCAAATTTCCAATAATTGAGATAAGGTTAAGTAAATTATGATAAAACTACACAATAAAATATATTACCACCAATATAAACTATCTTTGCAAAAATCTGTAATAACCACATGTTACACTTAGTGAAAAAATGAGAATATAAAATTGCACAATAAAGCACATAGCATGGTCACAATGTGAGAACTTCATACTCCCCAAAAGACAAGATATTAAGTGACTTAGGGTAAAATCCTGATGCATTTTCTTACTTTTTATTACATGTGTTTTCCAACCTTTCTATAATTAACACATTAATTTCACAATCCGAAAAAATACCTCTTTTCAGTAAGGTCACCACAAGAGTCTTTAGCGAGGTTCATTTCATCCCGTGGTACAAGCTAGAGAGTCACAAACCCCAGCCTCTTGGAACTGGGGGCATGGGAGTGGGGTGTGAAGAATGGTCACGAATGGATGGTGAAGGGAGGAGGGAAGAACCTAGGGGTGGGCAGGGAGGTAGGGATTGGCAAGGGAGAGTCAGGGACCAGTACGTAAACTGGTCAGCCGAGGAAAGGGGCTTCGTGGAGTCAGGGAAGACTCTGACTGCTCAGCGGAGGTCTGTGTAGACCCAGAAGTAGGCACTAACGGTGTTCTCAAAGGGCAGGTTCAAAGAGGGATTTCAGGAAGACACATGGATTCTTTAGGGGCAAGGGAGGAAAGAGGAGGGAGAGGTCAACTACTTGGGAAGGAGGTGTGAAGGGCTGGGCTGATGGTGATGAGAGTGGAGAGGAAGAGGCCGGTTGCCAGGGTGAACTCCCTACACTACACTTAAACCAAACACACTTCAGTAACCTCCAGACAATTCCTTGCAGGCAAACACGGGGTAGCGGATCAACCCACAGGAGGACCTTGCCAACAGCCAGGTGGATCCAGCTCAAATTCAGAGTTAATCTAGGGCTCCTCCATTCAATCAACTTTCTGCCATGATGGAAAGGTTCTAGATCTGTGCTGTCCAATGCGGTAGCCGCTAACCACATGTGGCTATCAAGCACTTGAAATATGGCAAGCGCAACTGAGATTCTGCTTCTGAAATGTTTGTTTCATTTTAATTAACTTAAATTTAAAGTCACATGTGCCTAGTGGCTACTGGGCAGCGCACACCTGGGGCAGTGGTTCTCAAAGTGTTGCCTTTGGAGGAGCAGTGTGATTTTTAAGAAATGCAAATTCTCAGGCCCCACCCCAGATGCACTGAATCAGAACCTCTGCAGGCAGGGCCCAGCACACTGGGTTTTAACAAGCCTTTCAGGTGGTTCTGGTGCACCCTCATGTTTATGAGCCGCTGAATTAGGGCCAATCAAAATTTCTGGGATCACTAGTTCTGGTTTCAACTAAACTGTATAAAAGAACCCCTGCTCAAATGCAGTGGGGATTTCTACAAATAAAGTGACTGGAGAAGCATTAATAAAACATGTGCAGCTCAGAGGGATTGGAGAAAAGGTATATGAAGCAACAAAAATGTGGTTTCTCTAAGCCAAGTCAAAATAAGGAATGTGGCAAGCTGTGATATCCGAAAACCAGAAAGAGGCCGCTCACCCCACTGTGTGGTGGAGATGTGCAAAAAGAAATAAAAAGTGGCTCTCAATTGAGTTCAGTGTCAAAAGCACAGAAAGCAACCATAACCCATAAGAAGACCATGCCACTGTACACGCAATGCAGAATTCACTTGTAAAGGAGAGATTCTTAAAGGGAGGCCAAGGAAAACTAAACCCTAAGGAGAGCTGAAGCACTGGGGCTATGCCCTCACGTAGAAAAGATGAGACAGAAGCACTTCCAGTGGAGACAGACTGACATGCAAAAGCGCCCCAGGTAGACCCAGACCAGGAGGTGGCTTCGGCCCCACAGGTGAATTACTGCCAAAATGGCAGCTGCACATCCGATGAGCGTGTCGCCATGCATGGCCCCTGCAACAAATGCAGGGGCACTGCATCCACCTTCAAGGACACTGAATCCACATCAGTGATGCTGCAGCCACCTCCAGGTACACTGCAGGGGCGCTGCATCCACTGCAGGGGCACTTCACTCTCCTGGCACAGTTCAGCTTACGACTTCAGCAAGAGCAGAATGTGGAGATTTTGGATACTAAAATTATGCTTCAAGAAATAAAGCGAGAAAAAATGATGAGGTATACATATTGTGGCCAACCAGGGACAACAAATGGATGTGAAATAAAAGCCTGTGTTAAAACTCGCAGCTGTGGGGTAGGAGATAATGCTAAATCCACTGACAATACGTCATGAGGAATTGAGACAGGATTGTAAAATTCTTAGTAGAAGTGTGGAGAGCGATGAAGAAGGAGAAAGAAAAGGATGAGGGAAACTTTCCAAAAGCTGAGGATTCCAGAAAAGAGACGAGCTTCAGGATCGGAGAGATGAATGGGGCACTTCAGTCCTCAAGTAGAAATTGTCGCTGCCAGAACACTAAGTCACTTAATTGCTTAGGTCATTGTGTTACCATATATAACTCTACTATAGGCTAGTTAGTAAAAAAAAAAAAAAATCAGTATTTGAAATTTTACTGGTTTGAAGTAACCTTTTAATATTTTAACATAATATCTTGCCTTTTTGGTTACAATATGTTGCAGTAACAACCTAATTTGCTGTATTTTGTTTCACATTTACCTTTAAACACTGAAGCAGCACTTGTAAAGAAAGAATTACTAAAAGTTATTCACTTTGATAAAGGACTACATCAGACGTTTATTTAGAAAGTGCCTGACTCTTCTGATGACTACTGATAATAGATTGGCTTCAACATGTTGTAAATATGAGTTGTGAATATTCCATCTTTTTAAAAATGACATAGGCTAAGCTTACTACTATCACCTGCCTTTCTGGTTACTTTTATATTTAGGAAACACAGAACTACATTCTGGGGGATTTGAAATTACCTAATATTATGCTAATAAAAAGTGTTCACAACTCTCAAAATAATTTATAATTTAATAAATTAATGTCATCTTTAATCAGCAATTAAGAGTATTTCCTGCCTCCGGGATAAACGGGTGTTTGCAACCAACCATCCCTAAAGAGGGAGAAACACTAATACGGTTCTGAGGGACTCAGTTCACGGGTACAGTTAGGCCTTTAAATGTTTTCCATTATGAGTAACAGTGCCTTTTAAGAGATGGCCTTTGGGTTCAAGGGTCAAATTATTTGCTCACAAATTATTACTTGCGCCCAAAAGTCTCTGAAAATTTTTAACTGAACTTCCCATACATCTCATGCCTCTAGTTTACTGAGCATTATTTATTATTTGATGTAGAAATTCCACATTAATCACTTCATGTATATTTTATCTTTGGATTTGAAAATTTGCGATCTTAGAAAAATTGAAGATAGACTTTAAGGCCTTGGCATCTAACATTATTAACTTTAAAAAGAAACCTGGATTAGATGTTGACATAATATTTTGAACATATTGGGCTAAATAAGATATATTATTAAATTATAAACAAAAGAGCCAGGAACTTAGTGTTGAACCGAATTTGATACATGGTTGCTTTTTGAAATGCACTAAATTTCACTAAGTATTTCTTGAGTATAGTGTTAGGTTCAGTTATGACAATTTTAGTTTGCTAACTTGGTACTTATTCATTCAATGACTTATTCACTCTACGGCTGTTAAACGAAAAAAAAATGGAAAGAAAGGTTCAGCCTAGCCCCAGTCCAATCACCAATTAGAAAGCAATAAAGATGAAATCAGAAGGTTTGGCCATTACATATTCTCAGGCCAAATTGCTGATACATGTTTTGATTGCCTACCCCTCAGGTTACCTCCAATATTATGAGTAATTACAAAATAACTAGCTCTAACTCCTTCTCTCACCAGCTGGAAGGGAATGCATCATATACGCCCTCTGTGGTTGGCAAAACTCAAGGCATCAATGAAAGGGGAAGGTCTCCACCTTGGGTGTCATTATACATGTTGTGATCCTGCAAAGGGTCCGAATCTACAAGATACAGTTCCCCTGCATGGACGTCAGAAAAGTTAGCCAGAAATTCATCGGGATTGAAGGTAACCCACACAGTATACCTATAGTCTATTGTGCGTATGGAATAGCCCATGACCTTTATATCTTTCAAACTCGGCTTGTCAGAATTCCACTGAGGGGAGTCTGCAGGCCGGGGGTACTGGCTATAGGCAATCAACTCACGGGGATTAGCATGAAGGTATGGGTCCTCTTCCGAGTCATGGAATCGAAAATACTTCAGAAGGTTTTGGCCTTCTCGGCACAGCTCAACGTGAAATGAAGGACTAGGGCAGCGAGGTGGAACGTGCAGTCCCGCAAGTCCTGCAAGCGTGGGGAAGAGAGAGAGAAGCTCCACGAGGTCCAAGGCTTGCCGGCCTGAAGGAGGAAGCAACCCGGCAGAATGGGTTACATTACGAAGATGGCTGCAGCCAGGCAGGATGAATAAAGGGGCCCAGGTGGGCTCCATGCATTGTCTTCTTTTCTTTTACAACATTTATGTTTTAGCACAATAATTTTAGGAACAACACTAACTCAGTACCTCACCCAATAGCAGGATGCAAAATGAAGATGCCCTCGGCCTCTTGGAACTTTTAAAACCTATCTGAATTTTGGAACCACCAGTGTCTAACTGATTCAGGCAAGGATCATCAATGGAGACCCAAACCACTGGGTAAAAGTCTGTTGAGGAACAGTATATTCTGAGTCTCATGGTATCACCCTGCAGATTACTCCTTTCTGGACGTCTGCATTTGATCCATCTCCTTTTTTATTGTGGTAAAATACAAACGACATCAAATTTCCCGTCCTAAGCACTTTTGAGCATACAGTTCAGGGGCATTACGTACACTGTGTACAACCACCACCACTATCCATCTCCAGAAATCTTTTCATCTTGCACAATTGAAACTCTGATCCCATTAACCAACAACTCCCCATTTCCTCCTTCTTCCAGCCCCTGGCAACCACCATTCTACTTTCTGTCTCTATGAATTTGACTACTCCAAGGACCTCATACAAGTGGAATCACACAGTATTTGTTCTTTTGTGACTGGCTTTTTTCACTTAGCACAATGTCTTCAAGGTTCATCCATGTTGTAGCATGTGCCAGAATTTCCTTCCTTTTTAAGGCTGAATAATATTTTATTGTATGTCTCTACCACATTTTGCTTATCCATTCTTCTGTCAATGGACACTTCCACCTTTTGGCTATTGTGAATAACGCTATGAACATTCATGTACAAGTTTTTGTTTGAATACTTGTTTTTAATTCTGTGGGATATATACCTAGGAGTGGAATTGCTGAGTCACACGGTAATCCTATGGTGAACTTTTGGAGGAACCACCAAACCGGTTTCCACAGTGGCTGCACCATTTTACATTCCCACCAGCAACGTCTGACGGTTCCAATTTCTCCATACCCTCACCAGCACTGTTGTTTTCTGTTGGATAATAGCCATCCTAATGAGTATGAAATTATCTCTCATTGTGGTTGATCCCTCTTTAAAGTCTAAATCTTGCACATATATTGATTCCTATTAAAATTTATCTTGGCTTTGGACCATTGTTCTGGCCTTTCTGGATCTTTAAGAGTTTGCTTTATACTGCCCAATTTTATTTCCTACACATTTGATTTATAAGTAAGAGAAAAGAAGATACCTTTTTGTAAAGGAGATACCTTCTTTACAAAGGCAGGCCTGGATGACATGACCACCTTAACCAGGTGACCAAACTTGGCATCAGTAATAATGGCACAGGCCACCCTGAAGTGCCCCCAGTGTGATACAATGGGAGTATACAACCTCACATGTTGTGTATGTGTCAAAAATGTTTACCCTTGGGGCTGGCCTGGTAGTGTAGTAGTTAAGTTGGCATGCTCTGCTTCGGCAGCTTGGGGTTCACGGGGTCAGATCCTGGTGCTGACCTATACACACTCATCAAGCTATGCTGTGGTGGCATCCCACATACAGAATGGAGGAAGATGGGCATGGATGTTAGCACGGGGCAAATCTTCCTCACCGAAAAAAAAAAGGTTCACCCTGAATCTAGTCATGAAGAAGCAATCAGACAAATCCCGACTGTGGGCTGTTGCACAAGACAGCTGGCTTGGATGCTTGTAAAAAGATGAGGTCAGGGACATGAGAGGGGACCAGATCATGTGAGGCCTTGTCGGCCACTGTAAGGACTTTTGCTCAGAGTGAGACAGGAACATAGGAGGCTCCAGAGCAGGGTTGTGACATGACCTGACTCAGGTTTTAACAGAATCGGTTTAGCTACTGTGCTAAAAAACTGTAGGGGATCAAGGGCACAAGCAAGGAGATCTAGCAAGCCCTGGCAGTAATCCAGCAAGAGATGGCAGCAGTGGTTGGCGGTGGGCAGAGAGGTGGTGAGAAGTAGCATGGACAGATTCTGAATAGAGAGTGACAGACCTGCTGACAGAGTGCACATCACATATGGAGTACGAGAGAAAGACAGGGGCCGAGATGACTCCACAATTTTTTGGCCTGAGCGACTATTGTCATTTCCTGAGAAGGGGAAGAGTGTCAAAGGAAAAGCTTAAGATGAAAGGTCAGAAGTTCAGTGTTGGGCATGTTAGACTGGCCAAGTGGGACAGGCTGCTGGAAATCCAAGTCCAAAGTTCAAGGAAGAGATACAGGCTACAGAAAAACTTTGGAACTAAACTGGATGACAGTGCAGACACATAAATTTATAACTTGCTGAACACCCCCTAACAAAAGATTTAAAAAAAGATTCTCAACCTGTCAGAAAATTTCTCCAAGTAAACAAAGGGCTATAATCATGCCTTGAAACGTTTAACCTTTTTATCAATGACGTGAAGGAAGAGCATGCAACATGCAAAAATTAAATGTGAAGAAAATAAAATTGGGTAGTGTCACGCAAACTTGGAAAGATCCAGAAAGGCCTGAATGATGGTCCAAAATCAAGAAAAATTTAAACAGGAATCAATAAAAAGTGCAAGATTTAGATGTTAAAGATGGATTAAATGCAGAAGCCCAGAAAGGGGACAATGTGCGTTAGCAGAATTCATAGTTAACAAGCACTCCCAAAAGAGCAAACATCAGCTGAAGGACTTGACTCGTCTCTGCACCGAGCAGATCCAGCCAGGAAACAACTCACAAAGAACCCACAAAGGTTGCCCTATGTGGCAGAGAGGGGTGATTTTCCCCAAGGGACATTTCTGGCAGTACTTTCTCAAACTGGAGCGCTTTGGAAGACAGACAGCAGGATAACCAGGGGTCTCATACGACCTTGAGAGGGACAGCTAGAGGACTGCAGAGCTCAGCTTAGTGAAGACAAGCTTCGTGGTGGTGTTTTCAAAGCTTGGCAGGACTGGCAGGTGGAAGTCAAAGTTAACTCGCCCTTTACTGTTGGGGAGGGCAGAAGCAGAACCACCTGGTAGATTTTACAGACCTAGTGGTTCACTAGATTGATGAGCTGCCAAAATGGCAAATGTCTCCCTCACAAAGGGCTGAGTCCTTGCCAGGATGTGCAGGTAGTGGAGTTCTGCTCATCTGTAGCGGGGGCAGGCCCCTAGCATCCGCTTCCTCTGAGCTCCACAGCACAGTGTTGTCACCTCTACGATAGCCCTCCCCATCCTGGGGATGCCACCTGCTTCTCTGTCCCTCTTGCCCTTCTAAGGCTCCTCATGGACAGGGGCCATACTTGTTGGCTCTGGCCCTGCCACTCCTCCCTGACCCAGAGCATGGGAGATGCTCAGGAAACATGAGCAGGAATGCCCACCCCGGGCAGGAGGGTGGGCTAGGTAAAACCCCGGCTATGATTCGATAAGGTGGTTTATATAAACTAAAGGGGCTATTACTGTCAAGCTATAACACTTCGGCATATGTATACCTGGCTCCATGACTTCCGAGAGGGGATCAAAAGGGTCGATGTAAGAGAAAAGCTTCTCGCCTGCATCTGGAAACGGAGCCGTTCTGCCCGGGACATAGAACATCAGGGGCACGCGGGTAGTGACATCAAAATTGCTGTATTTGGCCCATTCTCCATGTTCACCTAGGGCCCACCCTGGTTCATGAAAAGCACAGAATGGCAGAAAATGAATAATTACATTGCAGCTTGTTCATTTTAGACACCACTTCCTGTTGTAAAAATCAGAGGAAGCAAAAACTCATCACCTAGAAGAAAGAAATTCCTCTAGAATCACCAGAGAAAGGATGACTTCACCTGAACATTGCTTTATTTGAAGTTAGACATTTGTCTTGAATGAGGAAACCTTAAAAGCAAAAGAATATTAAATTCCCAAACTAACATATATTCTTTTAGCAAGCAGCTAGCAACATGCACCAGTGTCCCCCACACAGACCTGTCTCCCCTGCTAAGACAGGCTCATTCTTGACTGGGAGGGGGCCCCAACAGCCATGCTGTCACCATTGCCCTGTCCTGTGCCTGCCTATCTCTTGACTCAAGTCTCACAGCTCAAGTTTTCGCTTTTGGATGTGTGCCACCAGGATGTCTCATCCAATTTGTAAGACGTACTAGAGACTAAAAGAACATAACTTTGATTCCAGATCCTTCATCTTGATTAAAAACAACCCTTAACCTTGACTTAAAATATCTCTTGCAAAAGATAGCTTGAATACTCCAAGTTGGAAATTTCCAATCTTTGTAAGTTTGAGCACTCTTTTTGATATAAAAAACATAAAAGACAGAGATTGTACACTGAATATTTCGTGTTACAAAATAACCAAAGCCACCAAAAGCTTCCATGTATGGACTGGAGAAGGCTCTGGAGTTTGGCTGTAGGAAGTCCTGGGAGGGCCCTTTGAGAAGGGCCATTTCTAACCATCTGCGGCTGCCTCAGAGCAAAGAGAGCTCCTGAGGGGGCCTTGTCTTCACGGGGCACAGTGGACTGTGTTAGCACTGGAAGAGGAAACTAGGCACAGAAGAGGAGTCGGAAGCAGATGGCAGGTCACTAGGGAAACAGTGAAAAATTATGACACCTCCATATAAAATGGGCCTTTACAAAGCGTAAAGTAGGCCCGTGAGAAATGACACGAAGAATTGTCTATGACGTTGCTAAGTGGGAAAAACAAACCAGGGAACAAAATAGCACAATCAATCCTACCTGTGCCGTGACTCTCTATTACACACGTACACACACATGACATGCAGCCACCTGGATGTGCATAGCCAAGGTTGGCAGAGGGCCCCTGACTGTCAGCATCTGTTAGCTCTGGGCAGGTGGGATAAAAGGGCTGAGTGCTCTGGCCCTACAGGATATAGTGAGTATACCTTCTTCTTTTTACATTGAGTGCATGTTATGATGTAATATCGCCCCATTTCATATTTGATGATATTAAAGAATTGTTTCCTATTTCTACATATGATAATGGTAGTATGGTTATACCTCAAAAGAGCCAATTTTTTTAGAGATACTGTTTAGAAAACTGAGCAACCTGAAATTTAATTCAAAACAATTCAGGGTTGGGGAAGTGGGTGGGGATGAGCCGAACAAGTGCCATGAGTCGATAACTGGGGAACAGTGAGATGGAGACTGGGGGAAGGTTGTTGTTCGTCCTCTACTCTTTGGCATGTTTAAAATTCTACAAATTGGAAAAAGTAGAAAGCTGCCTTAGAGGAGACAAAGAGCTGCAACCCCGGGGTCTTGGCAGAGAGGACAGCGGGACGAGTGATGGAGGGAGGGCCAGGCCTGACAGCCTTGCTGGGCACTGTCAGGACTGTTCTGGATCCACCTAAAGCAAACTAAAAGTCCTCCAATGCTTTATGTTAGAAATAGGGGTTAAAAGGGCTCCCCACACCAAAGGAGGGCTCCTGCTAAGTTCACCAAGAAATAAAAAAGGTTGCTACAAGGTCCCCCACCCACCCACCTCTACCACGTGAGCATCCAAGATGCTTCCTTGACCCAAAGAGGTCCTGCCTCCATGGAGAGAGGTCCCAGGACTAACAGGTGGTCATAAAAGTACCCTAAGACCCCAGACTTGGCGTACCACTGATTCCCAAAAGAGAACACACCTATGTTTAAAGGCAATCTAGAAAAGCACATTTCACAGAAAAGTTCAGATACTTTGAGTAACTCACCAGGACATTTCAAAATGCTTACCATGATCTGAGGTAAATGCAATGATGGTGCTGTTGGCCAGCTGAAGATCATCCAAAGCACTCAAAAGGCGGCCAACCTGTGTATCCAAATACGAAACAGAGGCAAAGTAGCTCTGTCGGATTTTCCGCTGCAAATTTTAACAAAATAAGTAAGGAGAGTGACTATGATTTAAAGTACTGCGACACACACAGACACAGTGTTCGTCTGAACATCCCTCCCGAGCCCCCCTCCACTGAGGCTCTTGATGATTTTCTCAGCCAAAACACCACACTCGTTTCCCTACCATCTGCCTGCCCTTGCCCATAAAGTCACAGCAAAATCTGCAGGTCCAAAAGGAAGATTCTTTTCTAAGCAAATCAGCTTTCACTTCAGGGCACAGATCACAGTGGATGGATGTGCTGCTTATTATTCCTTTCTGTCTCCTTCACACATTCTTACTGGTCCCAGGAGTTGACCATGTATATAGAAAGTGATCTCTCAGTCCCTCCAAACCCTGCTGAGGATCACATCAAAGATACCACACAGCTGTCTTCATTTCCTGGGGCTGTTGTAACAATGTATGATAAACTGGGGGGCTTAAAACACCAGAAATGTATCATCTCCCAGCTCTGGAGGCCAGGAGTCTGAAATCTAGGTGTCGGCAGGGCCAGGCTCTCTCTGAAGGCTCTAGGGGAGGGTCTTGCCTCTCCCTAGCTTCTGGTGGTGGCTGCAATCCTTGGTGTCCCTTGGCTTGCAGTTCTCCACTCTCTGCCTCCGTCTTCACCTAGAGTTCTTCCTGTGTCTCTGTCGTCTTCTCATAAGGACATCTGGCATATTGGATTAGGGAACACCCTACTCCAGGACTACTTCACCTTAACAGTTACATCTGCGATGACCCTATTTCCCAATAAGGTCACATTCTGAGGTAGTGGGGGTCAGGCCTTCAATGTATCTTTCTGAGGGACACAATTCAACCCACAGCAACGGCCGTGGGTGGGCCTTTCCTCTGACCACTGTCTAACTCACCAGAAGACAGCAACTGCTTATCCTCACAAACTGTGGCTGTCACATGAGGCTCATTTCTAACAAACTCCCAGCAGGCAGGAGAAGAGCAATGGAGGGACCAGAGAGCAGCGCACCCTCCATGGTCCCTAAACACCAGAGGGACTTCAGGAGCAGCCAGGCTAAGCACTGAGTAAAAGAGCCACGGCCCCTTCTGAGCTGACTCTCTCCCAGCCTTGTTCACAAATATTAAAGAAAAGATGACTCAATCCTCCACCCCACCAAGGGCGAGAAGCAAGGGAGCTGCTGACCCATCAGACCAGCCCCAGCTTCTACTGTGGGCCCAGCAGTCTTATCAGCTAGACCCACTGGCTTCCTTTTGTCACTGCCAGGGTGAGGACAGTCATGAGATTCAACCGCTCTCCCCTTGTGGTGAAGACAACAAATATCCATCTAACCTTCTAGAAGGATTATGCCAAACCTGGCCTATTTCTACTTTCTGGTAGATAAGGTCTTCTCATTTGGGGAAGTTTGGCCCTCCTGGGGACAAACACACCTGTCAGGATGGCTGTGTCCTATCCATGGGTACACCCTCATTCCTATGCTGGCCCCCGGAAATAGGGCAAGAGGTAGACGTGGTCCTCACCCTCAATGAGCCATCTGTCCAGTGAGGACATGGGCATGGTGACAAGAAAAGGCATGTGTTATTGGTGGAGCCCAGGGACAACACCAGAGAATGAGCCCTGAAGTCGGCCTGGGGAAATCAGGAAAGGGTTCACAGAGGAGTCAGCATTTGAAAAGAGTGCTGGCAGTCAGAAAAGTTGGGGTAGGATGCACTAGGCAGGGGCTGCAGTGCGTGGAACGGTGTGGAGTCACCACAGAGCAGGACATGCGTGGAGTCAGTGAGTTGGCCGGTGTGGCTGGACAATCAAATGGGAGGGTCAGGGGTGGGAGAGGACTCTGAAAAGGCAGGTCAGGGCCAGATGATACAGACCTGCTGGGTCCATCCAAGGAGTGGATGTCCGGGGCTGGAGGCCAAGGGAGGCCCCGAGGTTATTCAAGGCCAGGAGTCAATGCAACCTGGGCTGCAGGTGAGTAAGAGTCTTTCGGCAACCGCCCAGAGCAGATTCCAGGGGCTTGAGACAAACTGGCACTAGATCAGCGCTGGGCACAGGGCATGTAGGAGGTGCTCAACAGACACTTGTTGAAAGGACAAATCAAACCCAGACCCACTGCAGTGGTCCGGAAAGATGCACCGAAGGAGCAAGGGGCCAGCACGGATTCGAGAGGAATTAGGGAGATCGAGCTGGAGTCAGGGGAGGGGAGGGAATAGGTGGGGGAAGGAGATGAGGACTCCAAGGGTGACTCTAGGTTTCTCGTTCAGCTGACGGCACAATTCAATGGCATGGGGGGCACAAAAGGAGGAGGAGGGAGGAGAAAAGGAACAAGAGTGGCGGAATGGCCCAGGGGGGCCTACAGAGCTGAGGTCTCCATGGGCAGTGACGAGGAAATGGCTCTTGCAACCCAGCAGACAGACATGTCTGAAAATCAGGAGCAAGGCGGGGGCTGGAGGGGTAGTTCTGGGAGTCATCTGCGGGCAGGGCTCAGATGAGCCTGGATGGAGAGACGGGGCAGAAAGGATACAGTGGGGGCGCTGGGGCTGACCCTGGGGAGTAACACTCCTCGGTGGCAGACACAGAAAGAGGGGCCTGCCATGGGGACTAGAGTGGAGCAGGAGGGCTGGCAAGGAAGCCCAGGAGGTAGACGTTTCCAGAAGGGGTGGCACTGCTTAACAGTGAGAAAGCAGCAGGGACTCAGGGAAGGGCAGGAGCCACAAGGAGGGATTTTATTGGCCAACAAGGTCAGTGCTGCCCTAGGTGAGAGAGCTCTTAGTGGGTCGCGAAGGCAGAAGGCCACGCAGAGTGGATGAAGAACAAATGGACAGCAAGGCAATGGACACAGCCAGAACAGACCATGTTTCACTCATTCTCTCTTGAAGGGTAGATGAGGGAGCGGGAAGGGATGAGAAACAGGCAGGGGCAAGGGAGGCGGTACTTCTGAAGATAGGATGGCCATGAGCAGATGTAAAGGCTGGAGGGAAGTCAGTGGGAAGAGAGGAAGGCTTTGCTCACAAAGATGGGAAGGAGGGGTAACAAGGTTGGTGAGGGGGTTAAGTCCCTGCTGTTCTTCTTCTGAGACTAAGGAGAAGGCTGCGAGCCCAGCACACGTGTACATACAATTTTGCCTACTGATAAGGGAGATTATTAACAGTGCCCGTTTACCAAGTACCTGCTGGGTGCCATTCAATCCTTTGAATCTTCATTTAAGGTGAGTGTTACCATTCCTATCTTACATAGGAGGACTCTGAGGCTCAGACAGGTTGACTGACTTGCCTAGAGACACATAGCTGGCGAGGGGCACAGCCAGGATCTGTACCCACATACATTCTGTGCATTCTCCTCCCTCAGGCAGTCCACCAGCCTCCATTTTTGAAACAGGAAATGTGGTCATCCACTGAGAGACGGGTCAGAGGGGCATAAGGGGCTGGAGGAGAGTGGTGAGGGTAAGAGGGAGCTGAGCAGAGAGCTCACAGCGTGTCTGGAGGCTGGGCAGGTAAGTGCTTCTCCACCTCCTGGCTGCGTGGCTTCCCTCCAGCCCACCTCAGGACTCGGGCTTGAGAGCAGAGCAGGTGGCTGGACTGTCCGTGATCAAGGTATTGCAGGTGGGGCAAGGATAAATGCCCAATTGTGCCGAGGGGCTGGTGAGGGCAGTAAGTGACCTGCCCCGGGGCCTCAGCTATTCTGGGGAGGAGCAAAGCCCAGAGGGGACCTAGACATGGAGGGAGAGTAGGAATCCACACCCTGGTGATCCCAGGAGGAGAGTGGGGAAGGAAGGCATAGAGTAAGGAAGCTGTAAGAAGAGACTGTGGTTGGGGTGGTGGCCGAGGAGGAGTCGACCTGGGAGGTGACAAACTCCCGAGTGTGACCCCTGAGGTAGCTGGCTCACAGGGAGCTGAGTTAGAGGGCTACGGGCTGAAGAAGGCACAGAAATGAGAAGCTCAAGAGTGGAGTGAGATGGGGCTTGGGCATGGACACCCAAAGCTGCAAGAGGATGGTGAGCAGGGCCCAAGTTCAAGGGGAATGTGGCGCAGGGACCAGCACACGAGCACACCAGCAGGTCCTATGGGTCATGCTGTCAACTCTGTGTATCCAACTGGGCAGCTACACCACCAATGGATGGGGGTGTGAGGAGGGAACAAGAGAATGTGAAGGAGCCCTCACCATGCAGCTGACACTGCCCTAGGTGCTTTCACACGTTCGCTGTAGTCCCCACTGAAAACCTCCGAAGTGGGTGTCATGACAGAAAACCTTTCTCCGCCTTGTTTCCATTTTACAGATAAGGAAACTGAGGCTCAGAGAAGTAAAATGACTTGACAGAGGTCGTGCAGCTGGTATGGGGTAGAACAGGAATTTGAACCCAGACTATTTAGAACCAACAAAACAAACCATAGAGCTTTGGCATTACATGTCTCTGGGGGTGAATCCTGGCTCCCTCTGGCACTAACTGCGTGATGTGGGGCGGGTCACCATACCTCTCTGCCTTTAGTTTCCTCACCTCAACAACAGAGAGAGCAGGGACCTCACTAGGCTTCCATGGGGACCAAAGGAGATGGCACACATACAATGCTGAGCACCCTTCCTGACACACAGTCCACTTCAAAGGGTTATTTTAAGTGACTGTCACTAAAAAGATGTCCAGGTGCAGCCTTGCAGCTGCGACTCAAGCAACCTTGCTCTCAGAACCCCCACAACAGGAAATTAGGAACAGAACCAACTGATGAATCCACTGCCTTCCAAACACTCATCACTGCCACCTGAAACTCAGGAATCAAAGAGATGTGAGGGATGCACATCCCCCACCACCCAGGCTCCTGCTGTCCAAACTCAGGGGCCAAAGAGGTTTGGACAGCAAGAGATACCTACATATTTTGTTTTGTTTTGAACTATCCCCTCTAGCAGAGGTTCTCAAGCTTCCATGTGCATCAGAATCACCAGCTCTGTTCTGTGGAGATGCAGCTTCCCGAGCCCCACCGCCGGCTTCCAGTTCCCTAAGTCAGTTCCTTCTTGGTGGTTCTGACGCAAGTGGTCCAGGAAGCACACTTTAAAAACAGTGCCCTCTCCTTCCACTGTAGACTGCCTGATGGAGTACTCACATGGTAACAGAAAGGCAGGGCTACGTGTGGAACATTCAGGAAAGAACACTGGTCAGTATGTCTTCTGTACTCCAGGGAGAGGGTGGCTGATGAGTCAGTATGAGGATTCTAACTCCGTGACTGTTCCACCCCCCACATCATGGCAAAGGGACACCAGACATCGCAGCTGGATGGCACTAGCCATGTTGGTGCCCCAGCTCCCTCTGCGCCAAGGCCCTGCTCACCAAGCCATCCCCGGAGAGTGATGGGTGCCCATGCAGGCTTTCCCACAGAGGGGACCTGCAAGTACCAGCAAACCGAGCATTCTGAGCTACATGGGAGTTGCCCACCCTCCTGTAACTGATGAACTGTCACGTGGATTAAACAGCATCCCCCACGAGTTAGTGATGGTCACCTAGCCCTCTTCCCCACCTCCATGCCCACATCCAACGAGTCACCCAATGTCCAAACGCCCCCTTCTTTGGAAGTAGAGACACTCGTCAGGAGATTCTTTATCCACCCAGCACTGCCCATGTCCTAAATTCCTCCAGACCACCCCCAATCCCAGCACTTCACAAGACAGACACAGAGAAGGTTCTTAGTGAGACATGATTGATGGAGTACTGTCTACTGAGATAAGTGGTGCCACCAATGACATCATGCCATGAGCGCCTAATACTTCCCCAATATATCCTTGGTACCTGGAAGTCCACAGGAATTGGGCCATAGGGCATGCTGAGGTTTAAGGCTTGGACATCCTCCCGCTGCCTGATGTCCATCCAGGGGTTGTAGGCCACAGGAGGGAGGCCAGCAGGGACCTGGGGATCAGGAGCCAGGGTGATGTTCTCCAAGGGATACAACTTCTGAAATTCCTTGGGGAAAGACACACAAAGTCACCATGCTATCACTCTTTGGGCAAAAGCACAAGGCTGGGATTCTATCTGTACTTACACTGCCTTCTCTCTAAGTCTGTGATGCATTTGTTTGCTCACAAACACTCCCTAAGTCAGGCTTTAGGTCACTCTCACAAGATGCCACTGGTAAAGAAATCATGGAAATTCTGTTTCCGACAACCCAGACATGACGGTTATCTTCCCTCATACAAATCAACGCCCTCCCTTTCTGGTCTCCACCTTCTCTCCAACAAGTAAAGGTGTGGTATTACCTGAGAGAATTACCCTCAGGTCTGGTAATTCACTGGGAGAGTTCACAGGACTCACCACACAGTCATACTCATGGCTCTGACTGATGACAGTGAAAGGATACCACACTCAGTTGGCAAAGGGAAAAGGCGCATGGGGTGAAGTCTGGGGGAAACCAGCACAAGCTTCCAGAGTCCTCTCCCAGTGAAATCACACAGGATATATTTAATTCCCCCAGCAACGAGCTGTGTGGCATGTGTGAAATGCTGCCACCAGGGAAGTTTGTTAAAGCCTCAGAAACCCAGGGTCTTTACTGGGGCAAGTCACCTAGGCACCCACTGCCTGAACATAACAAAATTCCAGACTCCAAGCCTGAAAGCAGGGTTTTGCATAGACAGTTTAGGCAGAATGAGCCACTCTTATCAGTTCTGGGAATGGTGGGAAAACTCCCGAGATCCAGGTTCCCAGAGGCCAGCCAAGGGCCAATCCTGTAAGCAGGCATTGTCTAAAGATCCGCAGTCAGGCCTGCTAGGTGAACTCTTTTCTGCACAAGAGGCAGGAGAAGTGAGTCTCATTCCATCAAGGGGGCTGACAGCTCCTGCTAGGAAGGCAAGATCCCCTGGGTCAATCAAAGCAAGACAATTGCAGCATCAAAGAACATGCCTTCTGGTCTCTACTCTCATCACAAGTGAGGGGCATTCTTTGTGAAGTCAAAAGGATGGGATGCTCAGGCCTGGGGAAAACAAGATACGGAAAACTCAAAAAGATTTTTCAAAAAGAGACTACATGTTCTAAATGATATACGTGTAAGCACAGGATTCAAGGCTCCAATGAGCAACGAAGTGCCCTGTGTCTAAGGGGTCTGACCTGACAAGCTCTGAGGAAAAGGCAGTTGTTGACAAGGGCTTCACCTTCCCTGGAATTGTGTCCTAAGGGCCATCCCTTATTGCAGGCTTTGGTGGCCAGCCCTGCCTCACTTCTCTATGATGATCTCATCATCCAATCCACCATTTGCTCACTGAGTTCAAGGAAAGGAAATAAAACACTCCAGTGGAAGAAGTGGGAAGCCAAGTGTTTCCAACAAGATTCTTACATGTCCTAAGCTTACTTCCTAGCTTTGATCTCTAAATCCCATCGTCACACTACTGAGTACTCTAGTACCATCAGGCACCCCTCGTGACCAGGGATAGCAGGATGTGGCCAACTTCACTATACATATCCCTCCTTCAACAAAAGACACAACTGTCACGGCTGTGTTGGATTAGCCCTCAGCTAGCTCTTCACCTTGGGATATCTGAAGGGGATGTGCGGTTTATGATACCCAACAGCCAGGAAGAAAGGACTGGTAGATGTTTTCATCTTTTCCAACAAGCGTATGGCTTCCTCAGTGCTCTGTTTGTCAGGCAAGGTGCCCTCAGGCACATCTGCCACATCCACGGGGCAAAGCAGGTTGGCATGGAGGTCTCCGTCTGGCCCCCTACATGTCTTTCAAAACAAAACATATAAAGTCAGCTTTTTAAATGCAAGAAATAGAAGTCATGAAGTTTACACACTCAATGGATTTAACATTCGCATCACCAGCTCATTAAGTATTAGTCATTCAGGTTGGACGAGCACACAGGAAGCAGAACTAAAACAGAGAAGCATTTCTTCTTTTCCAGGCCTGGGCCAGAAATCCACCAGCACTTAGCTTCTTGCTGTTAATCCTCTGTCTCCAGGTCATAACTAATGAAAGGAAACCCAAGTAAACAAACGATCAAAAAAACTCTGTCTCTAACTCAACAATAAAAAAATAAATAAGCCAATTGAAAAATGGGCAAAGGACTTGAATAGATATTTCTCCAGAGAAGAGATACAAATGGCCAATAAGCACATGTAAAGATGCTTAACATCATTAGTCACCAAGGAAACGCAAATCAAAACCACAATGAGATACCACTTCACACTCACTAGGACGGCTATAATTTAAATAAATGGAAAATAACAAGTGCTGACGGGGACGTGGAGAAACTGGAATCCTCATACAACGCTGGTTGGAATATAAAATGGTGAAGTTGCCTTGGAAAACACCCTGGCAGTTCCACAAACAGTTAAACATAGAGCTATTATAGGATCCAGCAATTCCACTCTCAGGTACACACCAACAAAAATAAAAACCTAACTCTGAACAAACACTTGACCTAGCAATCATACTCAAGAGAAGAGAAAACTTAAGTCCACACAAAAACTTGTACACAGATGTTTATAGCAGGGTTTTTTATGGTAGCCAAAAAGTGGAAACAATCCAAACAGCCATCAACTGGATAAATAAATTATGTCATGCCGATACAGTGGAATACTGTTTGGCTATAAAAAAGAATGAAGTTGTGATCCATGCTACAACATGGATGAACCTCAAAAACATTATGCTAAGTGAAAGAAGCCAGACACAAAAGATCACATATTGTATGACTCCATTTATAAAAAATGTCCAGAACAGGCAAATCCATAAAGACAGAAAGTAGATCAGTTGTTGCCACAGACTAGGGGCTGAGAAGAAATGGGGAGTGAATGGTAATGGGTGCAAGGTTACTTTCTAAGGTAATGAAAAGAGTCTTAAATTGATTTTGGTAATGGTTGTACAACTGTGTGAATATACTAAAAATCATTGAATTGTACATTTTAAAAAGGTGATTTTCATGGTATGTGAATTATAGCTCAATTAAACATTTTTTTTTAACCAAAGATAAAATGTGTCTTCAATTTCAAAGACTGACTAAGGTTTGTACGACAGGGTCCCAGTCAACTAGATAAGGTGAAAGTCCATGGAAATTTCCAGATCCATGCACAGAATGGAAGCTACTGCTTCATTACCCAAAGTGGCCATGTTGGCACAAGGCCAAAATTAGTTTTGACTATGATTTCTACCTCACAAAGACCCAGGGGCAGCAGCAACTGCTCCTCCATCTCAAAGAGGAGCGTCCTTTCACAGGCATGCCTTGTCCACCCTGCCCTTGGGCAGGCCAGCCCTGCACCTGCCTCACAGCACCTCCTAACCCTCTACGTTCAAACGATCTGCAGCATTCATGGGGGACTAGGCATGGTCAGACCCACGGCTTTGAGAATGAATGTGGGGGATGGGCACGGGGCCTGGCATTTGTAAGTAAGGCCACTAATAAGTAGCAAGAAGGCTTCAGGGAACAAAGAGATTGAGATGGGCTCTTCCAATCTCATTCTGCTCCTACTCAAGCCACAAGCCAAAGGTCAAAGCCCTCAACTTTCACCATATTCTGAAATGGGAAGTTGCTGAGAATTTAGAATACTCCTTTCCACCCCACCAACCCCCCAAATCCGCACTCTTCTCCACATGATACTTCTAAAAACCTCCGAGAAGCATGTCATTTCTCAGTTCTCCTGCTGGTTTCCTGAATTTCTTAAAAGTGGATCTTAGTTTCATTTATACATTGGGGGTTCCTCCGGACCAAAATTAAATTGTTTTGTAGAGTCTTTATTTTTCCATAATGCTCTAAAATTTTAAAGCCCCTATCAAAGGTCTCAGCACCTAAACAGATTCATTCGGCCTGAGACTGACAGACAAACAGACAGACAGATAGGTGGTATGCCTTTCTCTCAATCTGGGCCGAGGCTCCTAGAGCACAGGTCTCTCTTCTCTCTTTCATGACCAGCATCTCCTATAACCCTTGGCACAGAGCCTAATCAGAATGAGCACCAAGGAGCCATTAAATGAGTCCTACAGATTAGAACATAAGGTTCTAGAACAAGGAATACCCACTGGCTTCTAAAACGCAGCCACCTCTTCCTGTGGACGTAATGCTAATGATCCCAACACTAGTCTCTCTCAAGTCATGATCTCAAACACAACCCGCTTACCTCACTGTGTAACCAGCTTAAAAGAACATGCAGTACACCCAATAGTTAACCAAATTTGCTAGACCAGGAAAAAGCAGTTCCTCTTCAGAACAGTACCCCTTTCACATCCTTACCTTGGTGTTTTCATACTTTTCAGAGGAGGGATGATAAGGTGGAATAGACCAGCTATATGGAGAATCGTCACTATGATTTGAAGATATTCCTTGAAGTGCAAAAAAACGAAAGTTGTTAAATAAAACATGAAGGGTCCTTCACTGCTCTCTCCACCCAAAATCCAACCTTTGTAAGCAGTTGGGGAAGTATCACCTCCCCTCTTTGGGACTCAGTTTCTTCATCTATAAAATCCAGAGCTTAGACCAGATGATGAGAAGTCCCCAATAAAGCAACTCTCTAGGTGTCTATTTGAGTACTGAGCATCTGATCTCCTGGTCCCTAACGCCCTGGCAACTCACGCGAGGCTCTGAGGAAGAATCACCAAAGGGTGAGATCAGTCAGCCTGTTCCAGCAATGCAGCCCGGCAGAGCCCTTGCTGGAGCCTCTCAGCAGCCCTACACAGGAGGCAGCAGAGGCATCAGCCCCACCATGGGCCGGGTGGGGAAGGTGAGGCTCCGAGAAGGTCAGTGCCTTGCCTGATGCCAACCAGGCATTAGATAAGTGAGCCAGGACTCAAACCCACGCCTTAGGACTCCAGGTTCAGTGCTCACTCATGAAGCAGAAACCCACCCCTAAGGTCAGTAGTTCACAGTCGGTTTGGGAAGACAAAACAACATGTGAAACCAAGGAAGGACTGCCAGCTGTCTAGAGAGTAGAAGAGGTGCTGTGTAAGTAGGGGAGCCCCCAGGCACAGAGGTGATATGGGTCCAGTGAGGGCTGGCAGCAAGCACTTCTAGTAGTCAGCGAAGCCTGCAAGGCCTCTGAAGGAAGTGCCGCCTATGGGGATTGGCCAGGTGAGGCAGAGAGGGTAGTGCAGGCAGAACCATGGGAGAAAGAGCATCACCAGCGCAGCAACACATTAAGGCTCCAACGGGAAGCACCAGATGAGGCAGGATTGGAGGCAAAGGGGCAGTGGGTGGAGGGCTTATCACACAGCAAGCACTGTGGGAAGAGCAGAGGAAGCCAAGAGACCTGGGTTCAAATCCTGGTGCTGCCCCTTAGTACCCAAGCAAACTTGGGCGAGCTACTTGACCTGCGTGAGCCTCAATGTCCTCCTCAGGAAATGATGATGACGAGAAAAACCCACCATGCTTGCTGTTGAGGAGAGGATTAAAGGAGCGGCCAGCACAGTAACTGGCACTCAGTGGTGGCTGCTGTCACCTCGAACAGGTCCTTCCCTGACAGAACAAGGTCTTGAGAACAAAACTCAGTTGAAAAATGTGTTTCCACAAGGACTGCACGCGAAGCTTTTGTTCTCTGGCTAAGGCACGGCACGCAGAGCCTGATCCCACAATCTAATTATCAGGAGAAAGGAGGCCACGCAACACCACTCAGGCCTTGTTTGGCCTCCATTTCTGAAGCACTATCTCCCCTCTGCTGTATTTCCTCCTCTCCACAAAATCGTCTCTGCCCTCCCTCCAGCTGTATTCAGACAAGGGGTGTCATGATGAGTCCCAACTGCAGAAAGTTCTACTGATGGTGGGCTTTCGGCTGCACAACATGATTCTTGACAGATTCAGCTTCACAACTTGGCCCAACTTAGTCCAGCCGAACATTACCCTCAAGCTGGACTGGCCAGCTGGGTTCCAAAAGAAGGCTGCTGAGCCCGCTGGTGTAACCAGAGAGCAAAGGGAAAGCTAGTGAAAACACTCACGTCACGTTGTAGCCCCTAATGAGAAGCATTACTGGCCGGGCAGGCGGACAGAGCTTGGGTTTCAACACACTTTCACGCGCCCGAACTACATGGATTGGGGCGCTCCACTGGGAGGTCATCAAGGCAGCTACAACTCTAGCTTCCCAGAGAAGGAATCTGAGGCTCAAAGAGGATGACTGATTTGCCCAAGGTCAACTTCACAGCTAAGAAGGGGCAGAGCTGGGACTGGAACCCAGGTCGTGAATTCCTGGTGTCATCATCCATCAGCAATTCACCCTGCCTCCAGAGATGTTCATCCTGATGGCACGCGTGACAGCAAAGACCTGAAAACAGCTTAGACTAAAGTAAGGTACATCTGGATGTTAGACTACTGTGCAGTCATTAAAACTGACTTTGCATGAAGAGTAACTACATGGGAAAATGTTTATGTTTCAAACATTCACAATATAAAATTGTATATACAGGAAAATCTCAAATCAGAAAATAATATGCCCAGAACAAGGAAACATCAAAATACAGCTCTCCTCAGCATGCTGCAATTGTAAGTAATTTATATTCTTTAGTTTATATTTTCCTTTTTCCCAACTTTTTATCAAAAAAGCATTACTTCAATAAGTAAAAAAGTTTTAAAGTTTGTCTGTGCTTCAGCATTCTCATTTTGGCATTAAAGAGAGCCAATTTATCAGGCAGTGTTCAAAGTTAGGTCTGGCGGCCCCTGGGAGCCTATAGGCCCTGGGTACCAGCTTACTCTCCTCTTTCTGACCTAATTCACAGATGGTGGGCAGCAGCCCCAGCCAAGTCATAGCCTCTTCTGGGCAAGTCGGCATAGCTGCCCTGGTCTTGCTATACTGACAGGGACCCTGGGGTACAGAGGGTCAGGTGCAGTGCCCTTCCTTCCACCCGAGGCATCATAGGGACTAAAGAGCACCATGACTGGTTTCTGAAAGCAAGAAAAAGTCCTGCTACCCTTTATCACTCTTGGTGAGAACATGAAGCCAAGTTGAGAATATTTTGTATAAAGTCAGCAGTGACAAACGAGGTGTCCACCAGCCCGAAAAGGCCTTTGCAAAGACAGCCCCAACCCCAGGAGGGGATCCCTGTACTTGGGCACAAAACAAGAGACGACCCAGACGTTGGACAGCAAGCAGTACCAGGGTGAAAGACTTTTCCCACCGACATGGTCACGTAGCCATTCTCCTTGAAGTACTGGGGGATGGTGGAGAAGTTTCCAGCATGCACCCTCCAGTAGGAGTTGAAGTCATACAGGCGGGTGGTGTCTGGTCTCCTCCCGGTGAGGAAGGACACCCGGCTCGGGGCGCACACTGCTTGCTGTTAGGGAGCAGAAGCAGAGGAAAACATCCTCAGAGGAAAACAGAGTCTGTGAGCTAAAAGGTAACCAGGCAACCTCCCGAGTCCCCGGCAAACAGCTTGGCAGCTGAGTCATGCAGATCTCAAAGCCAACCAGTGGGATTTGGGCCTCACCCAGATGCCAGAAATAATCCTTCCCAGAGAGAGAGAGGGCAGGACTCAGCCCCTCAAACCAGCAGATGATTGTGTCCTTCTATGTGATGGTGTCTCAGAGGTGCACAGAGCAGGCAAGGGTCTTTGGGGAAGCCCCATGCGGGGGCTCAGGGAGGAGTGCTGCCATGGCAAGCTGGCAGGCTGGCACCTGCCCAAGGTCAGTCAGCAGATCTGAGGATGGCATTCTGCAGCACCCCTTCCTCCTCAGCACCAGGCAATCCCCTCTTTGGGGAAGAAAGCTGGGCAGGACCGTCCCGAGCATGTTAGAGCCAGGGCATATCCTCCACCAAGCTTGAAGGCACAAGCTTCCTTGCCAGTGGACGCCTGGGTCTTCTCAAACGCCATTTTCCAGACTATGTCTCCCTCCAATAAAGAGATGTCTGGCATAATCAGTGCCATCTAACAATAGCTGAAGGGATCCCCCAACCCTCAGTGCACAAAGCACACATCCACACCTAGGGGTCCCCAGACATACCTGAGCAAAGGCATTCTGGAAGAGGAGGCTGTGGGATGCCAGTTGGTCGATGTTTGGGGACCTGATGAGCTGGTCCCCATAACAGCCCAGGGAGGGACGCAGGTCATCCACGATGATCAGAAGGACATTCAGAGGATCTGGACGGGGGGAAGGGGCTTCAGTGAGATCACCTGCACTGACACTGAACCCCTACTCATGGTAGGTGGTAGGGTACTGAGAGGCCCAAGGCTGGCCCCTGCACCTTGACAGCCCAGCCAGCCAAGCAAGGGAGAGGGTGACCAGGGCTGGGGCTCAGGGAGGGTGGGAGTGGGAGTACAGAGGAAGCCCCAGTCTTGGGTGGCAGGGTTAGGCTTTGGCCATGGCCAAAGCCTGGATGAGGGAGAGAGAGAGAGTGAAGGAGGGAAGGAAGGATAGAGGAAAGGAATGAAGAATTTAGGGATGGAGGGAAGGCTGGACAGAGGGAAGAAATGATGGCGGGTCGGAGGGAAGGAAAGGAGTGAAGAATGGAGGCAGGGAAGAGTGGATGGGAGAAGGAACAGTATCAGAGAAGGAGCAAGGCAGTTAAGGATGGATGTAGGCAGAGAAGGAGGGAGGGAGTCCTGCAATCTGGGCGAGGGCGAGGGAGGAACCTGTGGCCAACTCGCCTGGCGCCGCAGACTCGAGGGAGCTGCAGACGGAACCCAAGACCAGACCAAGCCATAGCAGGCCCCGGCAGGGCGGCAGCATTTCGGCACCGGTGCAGCCGTTCTGGGGCGACGGCGACACGCTGCGGCGGGAGGGCAGGGCTGAGCCGCCGCCGCCGCCGCCGCCACCGCGAGCCCCGCCTGGGAAACCAGGGCCGTCCGCAGGAACCACCCAAAGGTGGCTCTTCAGGCTGGGGCTCCGGCGGAGCACGAGCGCGCTTGCGCTCTTCGTCCCCCGCCCGCCCCGCCCCTCGGGGGCGGGGCCTGGTGGGGAGCGAGGCCCTCGCGCGATCTGGGACACAGCAGAGCGGGCGCCGCCCCGCTGCTTCTTCCGCCTCGCGCACCCAGCGGCCCATGGGCCCCTTCACAGTTGGAGAGTTGCTGTGGGAATCTTTCCAGGTGTTTCGGAAGAGCTGTGATGCGATGCAATCACTGTCCTTAACCAGCAGTTTCCAGCCTCTTTGCCTTTGCTCGTGCTATGCCTTTCCCCTAGAAGCCCTTGCCTTCCCTCAACTATCTATAAAAGTCACACATTTCCTTGCAGACCAGCCCAAATGCCATTCTCTTTCACTGAGGCCCTTTGAGAACCCTCCTTCCTCCGTCTTTAGCACCCCCTTTCCTATGCATTTGTTCAGCAAATACTTATTAAGTACCGCAGATATGTGTACCAAGCACTGCTAGCGGCCTGGGAGTTCTAAGTCCCTGCCCTTGCAGACAGTAAATAACCAAATAAACATAGAATGGCAGCGGGCATACGCGGTCTGGAGAAAAGTAAGGTGAGGGGGTGTTTCTTGTAATTTTCTATGGGGCGGCCAGGCAAAGCCTCACTAGTAAAATGACATTTGAACAAAAACTTAAAGGAGGCAAGGGAGCAAGCCACGTGGATGTCTTCAAGAAAGGTGCTCCAGGCAGAGGGAGCAGCCATTGTGGAGAGTATGCTTGACAGTGTTAGAGGACAGCACAGAGGCAGGTGTGGCTGGCAAGGAACCAGGATACCAGACCGGAAGAGTGAGAGTCATCACACTGCTGGCAAGAAGCACCCACTGTCTGCCTGAGGCAGAAAGTTGGGAAGGACATCATTACAGTCAATGCCCGCCCCGCCCGCCGCCTCCTGCCCCCCGCCGATGAAATAACCTAACACAATGCCAGGCAGATTGAAGATCTTTTTTGCATGCAGGAATGCATAAATATTAGTGTTGTTATTGGGGGCAACATGCTCATTTTCTCCTCACAGCGACACTGAGCTAGATGCTACTATCATTCCCATTTTACAGAGCCAGAAATTAAAACTCAGAGAGACTAAATCACTTGACCAAGGACACACAGCCAGGAAGTGGAGGAACAGAGTGACTCTCCATGAGAAATGTGCCTTCTCAGGAGGGGGCGAGAGCATGGTCATCGCACGTGGCCTATTGCCATTGCTGCTGCACTTGCTTTGCTGTTTCCTCGGGCCTGAGCACAGGCAGCTGTTCACACTGGAGCCTGGCTGGCGACCCACTGGGAAGGGCTAGCCTCCATCTGCACTCCCCAGGCCAGAACACATTGAGTCCCTCAGGGTGGGCCAACCCCAGCCAAGGGCCCAAGCTGCCAAGTTTCAGGTGGCACCTCAGCTGTTCCTCCTCATCCTGACATTTGCCTTGTCTTGGTGGCTGCTCAGGGTCTTGCCCTTTCCCTCCTAAAATTATGGCCTTAACATTTCAGGAAACGCAGAGCCTCATGTCAACAAGGACTCTAGTGGATGTCTAGAAAATTGCTTTTACCCTTATTTCCTCTCTCCTTGGCATCTGTAATACATTCTTATAGCAATAGGTGCCTCTTATGAGTTTGTAAACTTAGGACCTAATTATATCGAGTCATGTGTCACTTAACAACAGATATGTTCTGAGAAATGCATCATTAGGCGATTTCATTGTTGTGCAAGCATCATAGAGTGCACTTACACAAACCTAGATGGTTGCCTACTACACACTGTCGACGAAAATAATCCATAACCAATCTATAAATGAAAATTTGGGTGAGTTTATTCTGAGCTTAAATCTGAGGATTATAACCCGGGGCCTTTCTTCCCGAAGGAAGAAAGGACACCAAAGAAGTGGGGTGCACAGACTGGTTATATACCCCCAGAGAGAATGTTTCACATAGGATTGAAATGTCCCTTTTACAATAGTCGCGAGACTGCTCTGTCGGCACAGCATTGATGGAAACAGCAGGTAGGTCTTCTGTCTCAGTGAACACAGCAGGGTGGCAGTCTGTTGTCTCCAGCTGAGTGGTCACAGGTGAGCTGGGTGGTCAAAGGTGAGTGCAGCAATCAGTTCCTAGCCTAAGGAAAAATGCTTATCCCTAAGGAAATGCTACTGTGGGGGGAAGTTGCACCTTTGTCTCAAGGGCCTTTGTTCTGGCCATAGGAAATGTCTAGGCAGATATGCAATGCGTGCTCAATAGCCACAGTCAGGCCCTTTTGGAAAAAACAAAGTCAGGCTGAATTAGGTTGATACCAAATGGCTTCCTCATATACTCCAATATATCCTATTGCTTGCCATTTTTATTTGTCAACATCGAGACTATATGGTACTAATCTTGTGGGATCAACCATCATATATGCAGTCCGCCATTGACCAAAACGGCAGAATGCAGTGTGTGACCGTACTTGTCCTTATCAAAAAGCCATTAAGAAAAAATAATTCAGTAAACCCCAGGGTTGGCCAAAGAAGGGAGTGAGGCAGAAGTTGCACACAGTTGCTGGCTCTAAAAATGTCTGTAGTTCATTTGTGGACGCCTTTCAAATTGGTGGGATACATGAGGAATAAGAGGCAGCCTGGGCCTTGCCTGCCTCCTCCCTCCGAAGAGTGCACATTCGGTGGGGAGGAGGGGCAGCAGTGTAATGCGATCTCCATCACACAGGTGGACTTTTGATTTGTCAAAAAGAAGAGTTCCCCCAGAAGAAGCAATCAGATGTGAAGACAAGTTCACCCAGTCTGACACTGATTCAAGGCCCTCTGCCATGTTGCTGAGGTGTGGGAGGACACCAAGAAGGGGCAGCTGCAGAGCTGGTTCTAGAGAACAGCCAGCCCTCTAATGACAGATATGAGAGACCAGGTATGGGGCCTATGATGCATTTGATCATGCAGTCTCATCTATATCTTTCTGGGAGAGTTTAGATTTGAATAAAGGTGAACAGCTAGCATTCATTGACAGCTGTGGCGGACAGACCCTAAGGTGATCGCCAATGAGTCACACCCTGTATAATCCCCTCCATTTGAGTGTGGGTGCAACCTGTGCTTCTAATCAATAGAATACGGTGAAGATGAGACTGGATGTCACATCTGTGACTACATTACCATGTATATATGAATCCATCTTGCTAGCACACACTAGAGAGATTCTCCTGCTGGTCTTGAAAAAGCCATATTGTAACTGCCCCTAGAGAATGTCACATGACAGGGAACTGTGGGTGGCCTTTAGGACCTCAGAGCAGCCTCCAGCCAACAGCCAGTTAGAAGTCAAGAACTCAGTCCTAGGACCACAAGGAAATGAATTCAGCCAACAATCACATGAGGAGGACTCCAGATTCCAGAAGGGAATGCGGTCTGGCCAATACCTCAATTGCAGCCTTGTAAGACCCTGAGCAGAGGCTCCAGCTAAGCTGTGCCTGGACTCCTGAGCTGTGGAAGCTGAACTAATAAATATGTGTTGTTTTAAGCCACTAAAATTGTGGTAACTTGTTATGCAGCAATAGAAAATGAATACAACAGCATTATTCATTCTCAACATTAATAGACATTTGACCTCAAGGTCAGATCCATTTTTAGGGTGACTCTAACAAAACTCAAGCAGATGTGGAAGTAGCTTCTTATGGTTAACAAAGCACTGATGCCCTAAAAGAGTCCATGAAAGCAGTTTTGAATTGTTCCACATAAACCACGCCCATTAAGACCAATCCACCAGCTATGCTGAGGTATGTGATGACAACACAATTCTGGAGAGAAACGACAGCCTCTCTGTCTTCAATCTAGCTACGGCCATAATCAAAGAAAAGATTGAGGGAAAAGGGGATGTTTTCAGTGTTCCAACAAAGCCCAAGAGGCCACAGACACAGCTGAGATTAAACTTGCAGGGCAACTGGAGAGGCTTGAAAGATCAAATGGACAAGTGCAAGGAGATGATGATGCAGAAAAAGTGAAAGCAAAAGCTGAAGACTGACTTTGTTGGACACGTAGTCCAGTTTAAGGAACACAAAGCAGCCCTGCTTGCTGGAGATACCCCAGACTTGAACAATTCCCACTAATAAAATTTCAAAATTGACAGTTTTCCAAAATACTTAAAACACCCCAAGAGTCCAGAATGTGAACCTTTCTTTCCTAAATATCAGCTGCATTCACACAGTAGCTTCAATTCATGGAGCAGTTTTTAGAGGGGTAGCCTAGTTTCAGCAAAAACTAAAATATGTAGCTGAGAGCATCATAAAATCAGGCCTCCAGTTTCCACATCTAATGTCTCCAGATGGGACTGCTTTGTAGCTCAGTGCCTGCATGAGATTTAATAGGGCATCCAAAGCAAACAGTCCCAATCTTTCTATATAAAATACATACAAGCAAATATTAAATACACATCCGGAATAGTAAAGAAATAATGATTGGTTCCCTTCCAGTTTAAGTTAATGAACCAGACACAGGCATTTATTGTCTCTTATGGGTTGGATCCACCAGAAAATTGACTCAGAGTTAAGTGTGCAGAATCTTTATTGGGATTGCCTTTCAGAGAAATACCTGTGGAAAGGCTTGGAAGGGAGCAAGAGTGGACAGGAGTACTCAATCTGTGATAGAGGCCTTTGCTGACCCCATGGGGCAGTCTAGAGCTAGAATAGCACTTCAGAGTGGTCTCGAGTCAGGCCGAGATGGCCAGATATTTATACATCACCTTAATAAGTCATTGAATGTGAGTTACTCTGGGAGGGGTCTGATCTTGGGAAACGTGGCTCTCTGCTGCTGAGGCAAGCCCTGAGGGGTTGAACAGCAGAAGGCTGTCTGCCCACAGCCTCCCCAGCAACTGTGGCAAGAAGTCCTTCATTGAAAGGGGACTTAGGTGGTACATCTATATGTTCACCACATCTCTTCCTCCCTTTAGAATAATTATGAAGGAACAAAAACAATATAACTGGACAGCAAGCAAGAATGGGAGGAAGATGCTCAAGTTCATTAGTTGTTAGGGAAATGAAAATCAA